CTTTCTGGGATTGAAGTATGAGAAAACAAATATGTTTGAACTTCTGACATATACTTTTCCCTCACCTTATAGAGAAAGCAAATCTGAGAATCCGGAGATGAAAAGAATAAGAGAAAACAAAGAGACATGAGCAAGAGAAAGGTAAGAGGGAAGAAAAGAGAAACAATAAAGAAATAAAGAAAAATAGAGAAAGAATGAAAAAGAGACAATGATGGATCCAATGACATCATTAGATGTAGACAAGATGGCCACACATGTAGCTTTACTCCTAGACAATTCAATTAGAAATGCCAATAAACTGTCTTTGTTGTTGCTTTTACTTCTGTAACTACCAACTCAGTGAAACTGGACTAATCCAGAGACCCCCATCTAATTTTTTTTWATTAAATAATTTATTTATTTGTTCTAATTTGTTATACATGACAGCAGAATGCATTTCAATTCATTGTACACAAATGGAGCACAATTTTTCATTTCTTTGCTTGTACACAAAGTAGAGTCACACCTAGGGTAATGACGCTCATCTCATTCCACCATCTTTCCTACCCCAATGCACCTTCCCTAATTAGTTATACATGACAGTAAAATGTATTTTGACACATCATATATAAATTAAGTATAATTTCTCATTTGTCTGGTTGTATATGATGTAGAGTTACACAGGTCATGTAATCATATATGCACATAGGGTAATGATGTCTGATTCATTCTACTATCATTCCTACCCCTGCGCCCCATCTCCTCCCTTCACTACCCTCAGTCTAGTCTAAAATACCTCTATTCTCCACCCCCTCTATTATGAATTAGCATCCATATATCAGAGAAAACATTTGGTCTTTGGCTCTTTAGGATTGGCTTACAGGCAATTCTGATGTGTCATGAAAAATACTGATGTAAGACATAATTAGAATTTCATTCTCTTATAAAAAACTTACTGTAGAAAATAGCGTAACATTGAATATGATAAGGAATTGTTTTAAAAATAACAAGACTTCAGTGGAATATTGTGTGATTTAAAAACTGATGCAATATGTCTACTGACATTGAAAAACATAATTAAATATACATGAATTGCACACAAACACATAAAATGATGCAATTCCATTTTTGTAAAAAAAAATTCATATACACAAATATATAAAGAATACAATTGATTTTTGTTATTCTGTGGATATTTTTGTATTACTTTATGTTGCTCCTTTGGTGTTACTGTTTAGATATTAGGTGGCCCCCAAAAGCTCATATGAGATAATTCAAGAAAGTTTAGAAATGTAATGACTGGCTTATAAGACCTTTAACATGCTTAGTGCATAAATCCCTTGATAGGGAGTTACTGAATAGTAATTGTAGGCAGGTAGGATGTGGCTAGAGGAAGTCAATCACTGAGGGAATGACTTTGGAGTTTACATTGTCCCTGGGGAAGAAAATTGGCTCTCTTCTCTGCTTCCAAATTCCAYGTCCTGAACACTCATCTGCCATAATTTACTGCCTCACCTCAGACTCAGAGTGATGGAGTTGGCTATATATGCACAGAGACTTCTAAAATCATGAACCCCAAAATAAACATTTCCTCCTCTCATTGTTCTTGTGAAATCTTTAGGTCACTGCAGTAAAAAAGTGAATAAAAAAGAAATTGGTTCTGAGAAGTAGGGTCCTTGTGACTAATGTGACCATATAGTTCTGTTATGGTGTGAACTGATAAATACAATCAATAAGAATGTAAGTTACAGGTTACGTACGGATTAGTAAAAAAAATATAGATTATAGATAAGATTTTTTWAAAATATTTTTTAACATTTATTTTTCAGTTTTCGGTGGACATCTTTATTTTATGTGGTGCTGAGGATCGAACCCAGCGCCCCCGCGCATGCCAGGCGAGCACATTACCGCTTGAGCCACATCTCCAGCCCCGAGATATAAGATTTTGATAAGTGAGATAAGACAATTATAAAGCAAGAACTTTCATAGACAGATCTAAGACTCCATTTTGGTGTCTTCTATAAAAACTGTTACAAGAGCTGTTTCTGAGAAACTGAAATGGAAGCTATTTTCTTATTTTTAAAAGTGTCTTTCTGTACTTTGTATCCCTTAAATTGTACCCTACTCAGGATGCAACAGTGGTCGAGGTGAGCTACATCCTGGGTTTGAATGCCCTTGTGGGTCTACATGACTTTGAAGTAGATTCTTGCCCCACTGACCCCAGCCCATATTCAGGATTTGACTGTCTAACACCTGCTTGAACGCAGGGCTGTGGTCAACTGAACTGCAAAGCTAATGCTTTTTTTGGCTTCTGTTTATCACTTGCTTTCCAGTCCTGCATAGAGCCCACAGTTCCCACTTATTAATGTTTTAATTTCAATGATTGGCTAGCTTACATGACGATAAGCAAGTCATTGAGTTGTGGTTTTTATGCTTATATTCTCTTTGGATAGACAAGGAAGCTGCTGTCCTCCTACAGAGCTTGAGTCTCTGCGGTAGGTGACAGTCGCTGGCCTGGTAAATAAAACTCTCTTTTGATTTGAATTCGGACTTAAGAGTGCTTTCTGAGGTGTCTCCCCATAACAGTTCAGAAGTTTTTGGAGCTTCTTAGAATTTGTGGAAGCAACTTTAAAAAGTTTAGAGATGCAAGCTGGAAAAGTTTGAGAATGTTATCAACAGCTTAATGGATGTTTCTGTGTGAGCTCAAAAGACTTGAATGCCAACAGGAGTATGAACAGTCTAGGACAGGGTTCATGAGGTTTCCATTCTGGCTATGAAGTTGTGTACATTTTGCCAGTGTCCTGAGACTTTCTGTAAGGCTGAATTTAAAGGTGATGGACTTTTTAATCTGGTGGAAGAAATCTGTAGGCAGCATAGCATTCAGGTCGTGGCATGGATATTGCTGGCAGCTAGCCAAATTTATTGTGATAATTAGGATCAGAAAGTGAAACAGAAAGATTTTAAAAACTTAGTTTGGAAAGAAAACTGTAAGTAAAATTGGGGCAAAGGATATGGCTAAAGATATTATAGCTATCATAGAAACACTAAATACTTCACCAAGAAACAATAGTAAAGAAGCCTTTTTTTAAAATAACTTTATTTATTTTTATGTAGTTTTGAGGATGGAACCCAGTGCCTCACATGTGCTAGGCAAGTACTCTACGACTGAGCTGTAACAACCCCAGCCCAAGTAAAGAAGTCTTGATGAAATCTCAGGAATTGGCAAGACCATACCTATCTCAGGCTTAATGGTGTAAAAGTAAAAATTCCCTTGAGAAGAGACCAGTGGGCCACCCTGTGCAGGCACTTAAAGCCTGTTGAAGCCATGGTCCTAGAAGGCTTAGCTACTGATCAAGATGGCAGCAGACACTGGCATCAACCATGTGGTACTAGTTCTGGACCAATGCAGGATGATGGAGATATGTAGTCATGGAAGCTTCCACCAAGATTCCAAAGGAGGCCAGGTAAAGTGCCCCAGGATTGGAGTTCCTGGGGCCTTCCCCCAAGGGGGCGATACACGGACAAGTGAGAAGGAAGCTGAAGCTGCAGTAGAAACCCTTGAGCTTAAAAATTGACATAACTATGGAATATCTGCTAAGGAAAGCTACAAGAATTGAGCCCATACAAGCCAAGAGAGAGGCCAGCAACCAGTAAAGCCATAAAGGCATAATTAGACAAGCCCACCAGKATGATATGTACTACAGATGCTGGATAAGGAGCTACAGGACTTGTTTGCATAGGTAGATTTCAGCCTTCCTTTGGTCCCATCCCTTCTTTCTATGCCCCTATTTCTCCTTTGGAATGGAAATGTTTACTATGTTCCTTTATATATTTGATACATGTAACTTGCTTTTGAATTTTACAGGGCCTCATGCCGAAAATGTACTACAAGTTTCAAAGGAGACTGTGGATTTTTGGGCAATGCTAAAATTGCTGACTATAGGGGCTCTTGAAAATGGACTAAATGTATTTTTGCATTGCRAAATGGGAATGAGTGTTTGTGGGCTCACACAGAATGTTATGGTTTAGATATTTGGTATCCCCCAAAAGCTCTCTCTGCTTCCCAGTTACAAGTCCTGAGCTGCTTTCCTCGATACCCTTCTGCCATGACATAGAGCCCAGAGCAATGGAGTCAGCCATTTATGGACTGAGATCTCTTAAACTGTGAGCTCTGAGATAAACTTTTGTTCTAAAATTGTTGTTGTCAGATCTTTTGGTTGCTGCAGTGCAAAGACTGACTAAAACATCTTGCTCACCTGCATTATTTTTATTTCTAAAAGACTATGTATTGTGATACATTTTTTTAAAAAACCCAAGCTTCATTTTGATGATGAAAAAAAAAAACTTCAAATAATATGTAAACTTTAAACTAAATGACATTTTATTTTGAGAAAGAGGAGGTATGGCAAAACTTTAATATGAATCTAAGTAAAGGATATATGAATACTAATACTCAAAAAAAATTTTCATTAGTTTGAATTTACCAAAAATTAAAAAGTTGTGGAGAAATAAGATAAACAAAGTACTTAAGAATTTGGCCCATCTCCCAGGAAAAGCATTTTATTTTATGTTAGGGTAACCATTTGATAAATAAATAAATACATAAACCCTTTAAAATATTTTACTTGTCAATTTACATAGGTTAAACCAAAAAAATTAACTGAAATAATAAAAATAAACATGAAAACATAGATGGATTGATAGATGTAAATATGTAATTTTGAATTTTATTTAAAATATTTTAAATATATTATTTTCTGAATTTTCTTTAAAATTATTTTTTAAATAAAATAAATTATATWTTAAATATAATTAAATATATATATTCAGTATACAAACAAATGGATATATACATGGTTTTGAAAAATTTAAACTTCCCTGGTGTTCTTTAGTAATCAACCATTTATGTCTGTATATTATATTAGGAAGCTACTTTTAAAAATAATTTTTTTCCAATACAAGTTCATTTATAGTACATAGCAAGCCTCAAAAATATCAACTCTATAAAAGGTTTATCTCACCTCATCTAAGTCTTGGATATAAACTGGCTTCTCCTCTAAGCCAATTGGCATTGGTTCACTATAGGGAATCCTTACTTCTTCATAAAGCTTGTTATTCTCTCTTTGGATTCCTTCTGGTAAAATCATCTATAAATATCAAAATAACAATTCAGAATTAAAAAAAATAAAAGAACTACTCTGGTAAAGATTTTTTAATGAGAAAAATACAGAATGCTATTGGTTTTAAGACATAGTCCTGGCAAATAAATTTAGCTAATTTAAAGAAAAACCAACCTAAAAGAAAAATAAATAAATAAATAAAAACCACACTCCATTCTTATGTCAAGTATCTTATATGACATACAGGCCACAGTACATTGAGGAATCTTAAAGTATACATTAACTACATTGAAGACAAATATACTCATACAAGTAGGATAACATGCAATATATGGTATAAAGCTTAGTCAAGCAATGATATAACTGATAATACTCAAAATTATAAATTTCAAAAATATTGAATAGAAATGAAGAAATATTGTCTGAATACTTACTATATGTCAGAATTTTATACAGATTGTAATATCTCATATACCCTATTATTTTAAATATTTTAAAATATTTTAGCATAAACTAATCAACTTGCACTGTATTCACAAAGGAAACAGGGAAAGCTATGTGTCACTGCCTCAGAACAGACATATTTCCAAGAGTTGTTATAAACCAATGACATACCTTTGCACCAGCAATGAATGCTGATGTTTTCCTGGCTTCAGCCTGGGAATCATAAACATGGGGATAATGAATTTTTTCAATGTCCATGTCTCTCTGCCTGCTGAGAATTGGAACACTTCTAGCATTCAGAAGTGCCTGCTCTCTGAAAATACAAAAAATGGCAGGCCAAATTTGACATTTTTATTTTGAAAAGGAAAGCAAGGTCATTATAATAATTACTTCTGGTGGCATTCCATTATAAAGAAAAAAATTAAACTACAAAAACAAAGATATCAGCAACTCAAAAATTTGGGGGGTAACCAAATAGGTACATTTTGTATTTAACTACTTTTAAATACCATTTAGTAAATCTGACTTATTGTTCATTTTTTATAGTTTTGCATTTTCACAACTTGAAGATATTTTCAAGGTAAAAATTCCTTTTTGGAAAAGTTACAATAATTAAAGCATCAAGTGCAATAATGACTTCATTTCATTTTCCTCCTTTCTACTTCTAGAGAACAATACACACAAATAAAAGTATAATTAAGTTGGGAAGAAAACAAAACCCTCAAAATAAATATAAATAAGTTTTCTATAACTTCATTGAATGGAATATGTGTAGCAACTAAAAATAGCTTACCTCTGTAATCTAAATCTCTCATGGATGTGAATGCAACCAATAATATTCTAATTAGCAGATGACTGTTTTTTCCCCAGAAAATCTTTATTCAGTGAAACTCTTGTTACAATAAAATAGGACTAAAAGAACCTGCCAAATTGCTAAAATCACACTAGAAAAATATGTAAAAGTATCGATTATAACACATGTGTTTTTCAGATTCTTGCTTTGATTACCTGTGTATCCGCAATTCCTTAGGATCAAAGCCCATAAGTACTTCTCCAGAAACTTCTCCATCTTCTCCAGTCTTTTTTTCTCGTCTGGCAATTCGTTTTTCTTCACGTCGATATTGTTTCATTAACTGCTTTTCTTGTTCGGATTGAATAGTGACTTGACAACCATAATTAGGTTTGGTATTCTCTCCTAGAACTTTTTTGCAATTGTCTACAAGGCAAATTTTCAAAATATAATGGACTACACATCTCTGAGATCATTTAACCATATGAAAACCATTTAATTTCTCCCTAAAAGAACATGAAATAGCATAATGCTCTTATCATTCACATTGGAAAGTGGGCATATTCAATTACATAATTTAGGAACAGGTTTCTTTTTAAAAATCACAATATTTAATATTAGCTAATGGCTTAAGAAAAGTCAGTAAGATTTACTTACTTCCTATAGATTCAATAGTTTAATGTTACTAATAGTTTAAATTCTTACATATAAAATCAGGAGCCTGTCAGCAGTAGAGCRCTGGCCTAGCATGTATGAGGGGGTGAGTTCAATCCTCAGCAACATATAAAAAAATAAATAAAATAAAGGTATTGTGTCCAACTACAACTAAAAAAAAAAAATTTTAAATCAGGAGCCTGAAATCCAATTTTGTAATTTTGAAATAACTTGGTTATATTAATTTAAAAAATAATTATTAATACTAATTAGCACTGTTAGATAATACTAAAATAAAATTATGTATTAAATAATTTTTCCTATGTAATACACTTTATTCTGTTAACTTGTATATATGTAACTATTCATACTGAAATAAACATAAGTGCAGAACATACTTCACAAAACAAATAGAGCAAAAGCAAGGTCTACCTTTTCATGGAAATAAAGGCCTTTAAAAAAAGGGAAGAAGGTCAGAGTCACTAAGGGGTACCAGGTCGATCAAAACTCAATGTCTACAAAGTATAAATTAGATCTGTGGTTTGGTCAACTCAATATTCAGAACAAATTTTCTTCCAACAGGATCCAAGTTAGTAAGCTTATTTTACTGAGGATACTACATCCTAGGCACTATTGCTAAGCTAGGAAGACAATACAAGACTTGGCTAATACTCTGCCAAGCACAGCCCAGGTTACTTTATCAAATTTGTAAGCTGCAATTCTGAAAAAAGAAGGAATTAAACACAGCACCAAGATAGGAAAATTTGTTTTCTAATTCATTCTAAGTCAAATATTCAAATATTACAGTCTCCTTACAGAATTTTTTTTATTACATGCTCAAGACAATACAATGATCTTGACATATCTTATATTTGATTCAAATAGGGTATGAATTCTCATTTTTCMACAGATTGCAGGATCACATTGGTTATACAGCCATGCATATACATACAACAATACTAATACTGTCTGTTGTATTATGCTGCCCTCCCTCTCCCCCTCCCCTCCCCTCCCCTCCCATCACCTCTCTCTACCCAATCTACTGTGACACTTTTCATCCTTTTTTTCCCTTCCCCCTCACACCATCGTATACGTATTTTGTGTAACAAATTTTAATGAGTCATTTATCTCTCAATCACATGAAATAACCCCCTCTATAGTTCCCTAAAAAGGAAAGTATGTCTCAAAATTACAAAATGAAGCATAAGCCCATGTATATTAGGATTAAAACTTAAAATTCTGAAAAAAMTATTTTCATTTTTAAGTCTTACATTTATTTTATTTAAGTCTTATATTTATTTTATTTCTTATTTCTAAGGAAGTCTTACGCACTTAATAAATTTATGATTAAATTTCAGTGTCAGAAAAAGAATGAAGCATTCTGACAGTTTTTACATGTACTCTTAACTAAAAGAAAAGTGAAATTGTCTGCAAAGCCACTCAATCAACAATACATGTTAAGCAGAATGTATAAAATTTGAGTAATGCCATTTATTTATCAGAAACCAGAGTTAAACATTTTAAAGTGTGAAACCCCTTTGGATGACATACTAAATTCTATATACTGGTGTCATTAACATTTTAAGCAAATGTGACAGTAATTAAATACTACTATATATACTTACAATCATCCAAATAAGAAAATTAAAATTATAAGAAAATACAATACCTCATAAAAAGATTTATAAGGTTTCAATCAAAATATACTAGATTCCTATAAGACTAAACATAATAAAAATTTAAAAAGTAAAGCAGCAAAAGCTTAAATATATGGCTTTTCTTGTTTGGTTAGGCCAACTGTCGCAAATGACAAGCAGAAATGAAATAACCTTAACGGAAATACTAACAAAAAATTTTACTGAAGAACTACATAGATGATTATATCCTTTTAAAATGTAAATATAACAGAAAAATCCTGTATAACTACTGGAAATATTGTCACTTGATATTATGAACTAAGTGTTGATTTCATAATACACTCTCTATACCAACTCTGAAGACAGAATTTAATACACAAACTATCTTTAACTTAGAGATCAACTTCTCATTCACTCATRTCACTTCTCATTCACCTTACACTTACTGACTGTAAGAATAGAGCAGAGTAAGGTAGATGTCTGCATGAAAAAACTTAAATAAAATGAGCCTGAAATCTAGAAAATGCCAGATTAAAAAAAAAAAAAAAAAGGTCATTGCTCTGTAAGACAATGGTTTTTGAGAATACGAAAAAGAATATGGTTAATAATGGGCTCATTAAGGTACCTTAATAAAGAAAAAGTACAATTTGGTAGTTATGAGAGAATTTTGAAGGATCCCTAAATGCAAAACATCAAAATATAGACACAAATGGGAACACTGGTAAAGTAAGAAGCGTATAAAGATCCTATTTTAAATGTAATCATAACACATCAAATCAAATTAATTAATTTTTTTTAAAAAAAGAGTTAGAATCAGTAAATATCTCTATAATAACATTTAGGAGAATGACAAAAGAAATACCAAATTCTCAGAATTTATATCTTCACAGGAGTTGATATTTAACTCTGTCCCTTTCTTCTGGCAAACACCAATTTTAAAAGCTCCTAAACCCTGATGGGTTACTGCATGGAGTCTGATTATGCACTTTCCTATAGCCCAGAGCCTTCTTGGAGCAAGGAAGTTTAGAACTATTCAAATAACTTGAACCAAGACACTTGCAGAAAGATAAAGTTGCTCAAATCCAAATCTTGGAAATTCTAACAATCTCAAAGCTCCAGGCTTCTGAGAACATTCATCAGTATTAAAGGAAATTCACAAAATATTTTGGATTTAAAGGCTATTTAGATGAAGTCTGTTTATAGTTTTCTACAGTGGCATAAACATAAAAAAATCAAATAACTTATATAGAAGAAAAGCCAACATAGACAGATGTTCAAGGTATCTAATTTCTTGTGTTCATTCACTTTTTTTAATCTCAAACTATCTGTAAGGTTAGCAAAGTACATTGGGGTAAAGGTTTTAAAAAATCTAATATTCCTGCTTATCACTTAAAACCTGAGTCTGGCATCATTGTGTCATTTTTTTAAAAAATAATTTTGGTATTTTTTAAAAAATAATTTTGGCTTCCTACCTGTTTTTTATTTTACTGGGTTTTTAAAATACATGTAATACATGACACTATCGGTATGCAATTTTCTGAGTGTGATAACTGCAGTGCAGTTAAGTAGAAGCTGTCGTTGTTCTTAGATATATTCTGAAGACTATTTATTGATTTACTTATTCATTCATTCATTCATACATACTTGAGCACTTCACTACAAAGCTACATATCCACCCTTTTATAACCTTTTTTTTTGAGATAGGGTCTTCCCAAGTTGCTGCTGCTAGACTCAAGCCTGAGATTCTCCTACCTCAGTCTCTCAGTCTCCCTAGTCACTGGAATTACAGGTATTTCACATCATGCCCAGCTGCTAAATATTTTATAGACGAAGTATCATGATGTCTGAAACTTCCTATCATTGTTCAGCAATGTATGTGTACCTTTAGAAAAAGGGCCAGGTGAAACAAACTGTTAATAACTAGTGAAAATACATGAAGGTTATGTAAGTATGTATTATTCTTATACCTTTACTACGGATTTGAAAGTTTTGGAAACAAAAACTTGGGGAGAAACTATAACACTGGGTCTATAGTTAATACAACATGTGTTTGCTTTAAAAATTATCTATTGTAAGTACTTCTACCTTTTACAAAACAATGCCATGCCCAAACACTGCAATATGTTCCTATTTAGATCATTTACACTTGTTTCATAATCTACCATACCTAAAAATCTAGTTTAGAGAATGATATCAGTAAATTATAAAAATTTCCAAAGGATAAAAAAGTAATTATATTTTTAAAATTGGTTAACCAATGAATCTTTCTTTTAAATTAGTATTACCACTACATACTTTCTTACCTTGAAGAGCTTGAATCTTATGATCATTTGAAGAATTAAGAAATCGATCCACAATTGTAATTCTGTTCTGGAGAAGTTTCTCAATAAGATCAAGTCCTTCAGGTCCAAGCAATTCAAATAACTTATACAAAAAGAAAAATAAAATACCTGTTACCGCAAATTAACTTCTTCATGTTATTAACACTCTGCTAAACAGAGCAGTCAAATTAATATAACATAAAAGTACCCTCAAAATTTAGAAAATGTAAAAAAAATTACATTTTCACATTGTTAAGGGGTTATATGCAATTATACAGTTAAAAATTATCATTTAATGTTTAAAAATAATTATGATTTGAAGCCAAAACTCCAAGTCACAGAATAACAAATTTTAGTGCTTGGCTTTTTTTGGCATAAAGAAATAAAAATCTAAAATTAACTTAATTTGCTTTTTATCATATAATTCTGGTTTTCCCAAGTACAGCTGAGTGCTAGTGTTTTTATATCTTTCTATATTTTAGAGTCAAAGAACCATAAGAGTGTTTTAGAGAATTGTGACTATTAGCCAACATTTGACATGTATTTTAAACATTTAATAAATCTGATCTCAAACACAATGCACAAATGCTTTATGTAATTTTATATAAATTTCCCATGCATATCTTAGTCTATTAGGCAGTTGCTGCCAAAAAACTAAGCTGATTTCAGAGTCATAGAATCAGTGTAAGAGGTCAGAGATTTTGAATTATGTAACCATATTATATAACTGCTCTAGAAATGCTTTAGAGTTCTTCAAGTATGATCTCAGAATATATACTACTTCTTCCTTTTCAAAATGGTATACTTTAATTTTGCATGTGACTATGCTATATTAACCAAATTCTGCTATCAAAGAAACAACACAAATAAAATCATAAGATAAAAATTCATGCTGTGTATATATGAGATATTAAACAATGAATTGTGTGTACAAAAAAATGAAACAATAAAAGAAACAAAATGAATTAAGGATGCACTTATCTAGCAATTCTAAATATACCAGTAGCATTTATTGAGCATTTATGCCATTTATTGAACATTTATTGTAGGAGAGATATTATGATCATCACTTGCTAATTCTATGTAACAAATGCTAAGAACAACTTTTCAAATTAAATACTGTTATTACTTTTGACCTTAGGAAAATTAAGCTTTAGAAAGTTTATGTAAATTGCTTAATGTTACACAGCTAATAACAGAGTTTTGAAATGATACATATATGAATCCAGTCATAAAGAATTTCCATTATACTATGGTAACACCTTTGACTGTTTTCTAGAAAACTGTTGTAATACAGAAATTGATATATTGTCCACAAAAGATACACTAGGAAATATAAAGATAAGAAATGAGGCTAATAAATTTTAAAAATTTCTAAAAGAATATTTTGGTTGAGTTCATCCCAAAAACAAAACAAAATAGACAAAAGAAAAATAAAGTTCACTGGACTAGACAAAAGAGAATGAAGGGAAGGTGGGGATGGGTGTAGAAAAGACAACAGAATAAATCAGACATCTTTCCTACCCTTATATATGAATACATAACCAATGTAACTCCACATCATATACAACCACAATAATGAGATCATAATTGAAGCAAGTTATACTTATTCTATGTACATATAATTATATGAAAATACACCCTACTATCATGTATATCTAGAAAGAACAAGTAAAACATAAGAAATATGAAAGCAAAAATAAAACTTGTGACATCATCCTACACACCCAAATACAATGGTGGTATATGACAGTAAGGGATTAAGACAAAGACAAAGCCAATCATAAAAGAAAACCTAATATTCTCTCTTGCCCTTTCTCATCAGACTCCTTCAAAGAATAACTCATCCATAAAACACAGAATGTGGAATCCAAGAAGTGAGTCTCTGAGACTCTTCAGGGGTCCATAAAGTCAACACTATTTTTGTAACAATATTTGGATGCTATGTACCTTTTTCACTGTTGATATTTGCACTGATGCTGCAAAATCAATGGGGGAAAGGTTTGTACAAATAAAGCCAGTGGTATCAAACTGTCACGTAAGCACAGTTATAAACACAAGAGCCAATTTCACTCAAGAATACCATTAAGTAAAGTAATAACTACTAATTTCTTAAATCTCAGAAAAGCACATATCTTTTTAAATAATCTGCTGAACAAAACACTGACAAATGAAGTATATATAAAATCACTTCTGGCACACAACAGTATACAATGAAATATATGAAAGATAAGTGCTAGTCAGATCATTTCATGTAACACCATTTTGACATGAGAGAATGAATGAAGTCTTCTCTAGTCTGGTTATTCGGACTAAGATATTTGACAGTTTCTTAAAAATCAAAGAAGTAACCCTGCTATACCAAGGAAAAGAACTGAAAATATTTGCTGCCAGTGATAAAATTCAAGCTTTCAAGAGAAAAATCAAAATTTTGGAAAACGTGTATTTTTTCACCAATGAAAACCTGATCAGTTCCCAAAATTTAAAGATTTCTCTGATGACATCAGTGGTGATAGCAATGAATTAGTACTAATTGTAATATTACATAATGAAAGTGTCTACATTAGGAAGACAGGTATAATTCACTGAATCAATTATTTTTCATAATATCACATATGATGCCAGTAAAATGAGAAGACAGATTTTAGTGAAACAATTCAAAAAAATCTCACTGTCGTACTTTCATATTTTCACCATAATTGACCGGTAAGAAACTACCATTTGTCAAGTTTTAATATATCAAGAAAGAATACAAATAACTATTTAAAAAGGCTTTTAAAATATCATTCCTTTTTATGGTTGGAATTTGGTTCACTGGCAGAATGCTTGCCTAGCATACAAAAGATCCTGAGTTCAATCACTAACACTGCCCCCAAAAAGTAAGATATTATTCCCTTTACTAACTACATATCTGTGTGAGGCAGGGTTTCCTTTGTACACTTCAGCCAAAATATACATTATAGCAAATTGAAAGCAGAACCAGATATGAGATTCTAGCTATTTTTTATTAAATCAGACATTAGAGAGAATGCAAAATAACACTACTTTTCTTTCTAAGTTTTCTAGTATGGAAAAATATAGTTAACTTTCATCCAACTACGCTAACTTTTAATAGGCTTAATATTTGTGAAAGTCAAAGCACATATATTTTAAAATTTTACTCAGTTTTAATTCCTAGTACATTCAAGACATAAACATTAGCAAAATCTCTTTGGAGTCCTCAATAACTTTTAATAGCATTAAGATATACTGATATCATAAAGTTCAATAACTGATGGCCAAGTCTACCATAAAACACATCTAAATGGTCTTCTCCTTATTTTATACCCATGTTTCTATAGCTTTTTTATACCATGCACATGTGGAAGATCTTAATATTTATAAGGCACATTGAAGTAAATGGACAAGTCTGCTATGACCAAAAAGAGATTACTTGAGGATTCAAGCAGTCCTTGGCCTCAGACAACTGTCCTTTATTCACATAAGTAGAATATTCTCTCCCATTTTTAATCCTTCAATGAATCATTTTTTATAAAGGCAATCATCAGAAGTACTAGTTTTGCTTAAATAAACTAGAATAGTATTCCAGCCTACCTGTACCCAATTCAAAATCATGTGCCCTGACACTCCAGTAGGAAACCTCTACTACATCCACACCCAAATCTGTTCATATTGTATACCACAGTTGAAAATCTTTAATACTATTACAGTGCTTATAAGATAAAATCCAAGCTTCTCAGCACCCTCACAGCTTGTCATTCAATATCTGGCCCCAGTGAATCTGTCAGTCATCATCACATCCTGGCTTTCCCCAACTGACAAATCCTTACCRTCCAATAACACCAACCATCTGTTGCTCCAAGACTAAAACATGCTCGTTCACATCTCCATGTGTTTKTACATATTGTTTCTGCTAGATGGAATCATCTTTCTACTCTCCCCAGCCTGATAACTTTTACTTTTAATCTTCAAAACATAGCTCAAATAATAACTCTGTGAGGCAGGAAAAGAAGCTTCCTCATTATTTTGTGTCCTCCTTCAAAGAATCTTGCTCCTTTATTTCTTCAAGAGTTACAACACAAATGCAAATGCTCAGATATATTAAAGACATGCTTTATTCATATAATAGAATATTTTCTCCCATTTTTAATCCTTCAACGAATCATTTTTATAAAGGTAATCATCAGAAGTACTAGTTTTACTTAAATAAACTCTTTCTAAATAAAAGTCAAAACTGTCTCCAAATGCAATCTAAAATACAGAAAGAATCTCAAATGGGTTGTTTTCAAAGATGAAAAGAAATTTTTGCCAGGTATTTCCCAACACAGGGTGAAGATTAAGTTTTTGTTGTTGTTTTGTTCGTTTTAATCTCCTTCAAATATCAGTAGCAAACACCTTAATGACCCTTCTCCTATTATGTTGAAAATGGTTAACATATAAACACGTATAAGTAATGTATCTAAAACCACATTAATAGAATATCTAGAAGAATGAAGAAATAATAAATAGAAGTATAACTAAAGATAAAACTAAAGTGGAAAAACTAAAGATAGGCCAATATTCTAGACAAAAATAATAAACTTAGGATCCATGTTTGATCCTCCTTTCTTAACATCCTTCAAGCATCCTTCAAAATGCTGAAGATATGTTAAATACTTAAATCATAATGGATTTATAAATTCACAGAAATCATAAACTTCTAGGAAATAAGTTAGTAAAAAACAGAATCATATTCAYTTAGAAAAATCTCGAGTTATAGTAAAATACATACTAAGAATATATTTTACAAATAAAATAACAATGCCTTGAAAATTTCCACATATACATGATATTTCCATATATCCATGAGTATTAAACACTCATCTTAGTATAAGCTATTCATCAATACCATTAGGAAATGTCCATCCTGATCATGATCAACACTGCAAGATAGGTATTAATAAGGTTTCATTTATAAAAGATATTCTATGCTTTAAATAGTATCTGTTAATTTTTCACTTGAACAATACATGGAAATTTTCAGCTTTCTAATGGCTTAACAACAAAAACAAGTTTCTAAATCATCACATCTTAGGGTCACCAACAATTTTCTTAAAAATTAAG